GCTTCACGAGAGGCCAAGCCAGAGTTCGGAAAGGGGACCGCACAAACAAAGGCCCAGCACGTCAGTGTCAGGAGCCGGACACTTTGACAATGCCATGCCCGATACTAGCAGCTTTTGCCGTGGAACCGATCCACTTTCCTCCAGTCCGCGAGAGAGTTGCTGTTCGTGATGCCACCTGCAGATTCCCGAAACATGCACCAAGTACTCGTCGTTGATGCCATTGTTTCTGAGTTCTGGCAGAGAGACGCCGAAATTGCAACTCCAGTGATAGCCGCCTCAGCCCTGGAAGCCTGTGGGCGCGTCGAGGCGAAAGGGCCTGATGAATGCTTAGACTCCACTCCTAGTCCGGACATACAGAGATCTATTGATTTTCAAGGTCCAGTCAAACACGTAAAATGAATCAAGAATCGGCAAACAGCACGCGAAGCGGTCAGCAGATCGTCAGGTCCGTGACTCCATATGCTGGTTCAGCTATGTATCGACAGGGGGCAAAGGACAGTGCTCGTATTCATGTAGGTCGGAGGATACAATTTCCGACACGGTGCTTGATGCGAGGTCTAGATTTTTGGGCCAGGTTGGGTAGGAGGCTGAAAATCTGCGACACCCAATGGGTCTGAGGTCTATCTAACTTCGAAACGTCAGTAAGGCTGTATAGGGACGGAAAATTATATACCATAGTACCAGGGAGTTTCCTTCGGAAGACTCTACGAGGGCAAACCAATGGCGCACTATCAGCCCAACGAGCCTGTTGAAAGCGGAGCAGCCCCAGAAACCCCGGCAAGCGGGTGTCAGCAAAGAGGTCGAGGACGCGATCTGCAGGGGCACCTTTTGAAAGTATTGCAAGCGGTATAGCGGTTCGCGTAGGAAGCGCCACCATTGGTTATCCCCTGGAGTTGCTGCTCACCAAGTGCCCACAGGTCCCCATCTGAAAACCCCGGGCACGTTAGTTTGCCTCGTGACAAGCCAAGCTCTCCGAAATTGCTCCTGGCCCTTAGGGGATCAGGTTTGACGTAAAGCGCTTACTTGAAGTCTGGTCTGATAGCGAATCGCATGGAGAGCTCGGCCACGCGACTGACCAAGCTGAAGCCCGAGTATCGTATTGTCTATCTTCGATCCACGAATGTGTGAAATGGGTGTGATATTCGACGAAAGCAGCCGATCAACAGGGGCCGATCTTGAGGGACCAGCCACGGAATAGTGGGTGATGATCTTACAGCCCAAGTATGACTGTGCAAAACGGCAGGGCGCACTCTGGTCGCGGGTGGCACCAAAGTTCCATCTGAAGGTTTGAGGAGCCCAGTTTGCATCATTCGCATAAAATGTGTCAAAAGCATGGCAGCCCCAAGCCGCTGGACAGATCGATCTGCTGAAGAAGCAAAAGCGCAGGTTGGCGCCGTCTAGTCCCACGGTGGCTGTTTCTGCAGCACAATTCTGGCTGGCTGAACTTCCAGGAAAAGAGCAGAATAGACTGGCGGCGAGTGGAGTATAACTGGATTGGATCCGGGATTCATGTGAAGGACAAGCACAGACCCTGCAAGCGTGCTCGGCGGTCCGCTTGTCAGTGAACGACCGCTTTTAGGGGAATCGCAAAAATGAGGTGGCAGCCACATGGCACTGGAAATTGCTTGATCCGCTGCCAGACTTCAGGTCGCTTGAAAGGGAACCGCCGAATAGGAGACCGCACCAATGCATGCGCCGAGGACTAGTCCAGAGCTAAAGATCGTGTTACTGTTCGTTAGTCGGCCAAGAGCAACTGTGGTGGTGGGGTTAAGCGGTCACTGATGAAGCTTTAACCGCAAACGTCTCTTGCGCATATACAAGTTGTACCTGCGGAGTTTGCCTCAGGCTCTATTCTCGTGCTCCGGAGAGCTAGAGACGATTTGCAACTCATCTGCGGGACAACCCCAAGGGAGGTCTGCGCCGCATATCACATCCATATCCAGACAGTGATTGTGTAGCGTGAGCTGATTCGATGTGGCCCCAGCAGGGTGATGTCTAGCACAAGCTGTGGTGGTGGGGGTGCAGCAGCCAGTCGCACTCTCGGATGAGAACAAGGGAAGTGACAGAAAGGCCATTCTTTGGGGTGTTCCCATATCGGACAAGATCCGGGCATGCTGTTGGTTGAATCGAGAGTCTCGGCAGCTGTGGCTCCTGTTTACAAGGGAGCACCCCTGAAACGTCCTTCTATCAACGGCAACGCCGTGAAGGTTGGTGAAGTGACGTCCTCTACGGCAAGCAAACAGTGCCAAAGGTTTATTCCTTTTTCCTCTCTTGTACGTTCCCTAAGCCAGACTGGGTTAAGGTCGAGGATTGGCTGGGCATTGAAGATCGGTAAAGAGAATAGCTGTGGTGTCTCGCCTATTTTGTGCTCCGTACGAGCAGATAGTGCCTGGCAAAGAGAGGAAAGGTGGAACATGGAGCATCCACTAGATACAAGTGCGAGTCGATGGCCTGTCGATGGCCTGTCGCTGGCAAAAGAACCGTAGGTACGGGGTACTAGGTACTAGGTAGGAAGGTTTCCTGCGATGGGGGCCTGTCCAGCTAAGACGCAGTTAGCATCGTCAAGATAAAGACCACAACACACTGACCATCGCGGGCCAAACGACCAGGGGGTAGGGATGACACGTCGGGAAAGGATTTTCCTTGAAACAGTGATAAAAGTAATGGGGGAAGGGAAAAGAACCAAATTTGACACAGGGTGGGCACTGGACAACCTCAGATGGTCGCCGAACACGAGTCAATAATACAGTCCTCCGTACAAGGGGGAGGGTACGGGGTATGTGAAAGGTTCAGGGAATTGGAGAAGAAATGCTGTATGATTCTGACAGGGAAAATTCAAAGATACCATCGGGAACAGGACGAGTCGATACGCAGCCTGGAACAAACAACACGAGGGATGCTTAGTCGAGAGAGGGGGAGCGTGTGTGTGTGTGTGGGCAAATAATGGTTACTCGGTAGGTATCTACACCTGGGACTGCTGGACACTGGTAATAACATCATGTGCTCCGGGTGACACAATAGTAGGCACGCTAGGCAGATACTAGGTAAGCATCTCAACTAACTCTACAAGTAGGTGCTTGATAGGCTCCCTACTCGCTACCTATTGTAGGTAGGCACTTCGGACTTGTAGGCCCGACATGAGGAAAAAGTCCAGGTAAGCCCTACCGGTAGAAGAAAACGACTGTACGGTACTTGACTCGTAACTCGTCAGGTATCAAGTAGTAGGTACCTAGTACCCAGGTATTTCTTCTCTGGAGGACAAAGTTGAGCCGGGAAGCATCGTCCCCCGTCTAGAGCTAATTAGGCATGCATCTCAGTAGGTAAATGAAGAGCTGCAGCCCGTTTCTCAATACCAACCTAGATACCCAAAGTCCCTCAGGCCACTACTGAGACGCCCCCCTCCGTCCCCCCAAAGCAAGCGCCCTGCACAATGCACTCTGCATTCTGCACACCAAAAACCCACCCCTCCAACTTCCCAAACTTCCCCCCTCCTCTTCCCGTCTACTGGTACCTGTCAGGAAATTCTCCACTAGCACCACCCTCGAAGATTCATCACAACTCCCAATCCACCCCAGTGCCCCCTCAGGGCTAAACTGGTTCCAGCATAGCAATGCCTCAGGATCCAATTTCTCGCGATCCCGTTTGGGAATCAAACTCTGGCCGCAGCGCTCGGTCCAGACTGTTGTGTGCTTTTTTTCTCCTCGTCAACCTCCATCCACCATCACCACCAGAAACTGAGACCTTCAGCCGACAGGGACCCATGTCAAGCCCATCCCGACTCGTCGTCCTAAAACACGTTCCTCCGTTCAGACCGCAGTTCACCATCTCCCTCGCTTTCTTCACCCCTGCCTCCCTGTCTCGACTCTTAGCCTCTTCCGTCTCCCGCCCACCATCATCCCTGACCAAAACTCTCTTCCCCTCTGCCTGCATGACCACTACCCTACAAGTCCTGAAGAGATAGCTAGCTCCACCCCCTTCGTTCACGCCAGTGTGTCCTGGCAATCAGCAATCAGCACTCTGTCCGTCGTTGCCCACATACAAGCCTATCCCGTACAGCGTTAAAGGGCCAGAAAACACTCCTCTCCACCCGTCCAAAGTCTGCAGTCCGTACAGCAGCACCCATCGCGACCATACCCGTCACATCCTAGCACCTCCTGTCTCCGCTGTCCGTTTTCGACCAGCTCTCTTCTTTTTAGGCGACGAAGGCGACAGGCCCGTCCAGCCAGCCGGCCGCCAGCTGCCCGCTAAGAGCGCCATGTGTTGCCCCGACCAAAAGGATCGCGACTTCGAGTACTCTTGAAATCGAACTGCCCTCGTTGATCAAAATCCTGCTCCCATCCTCTTGTCTGCGAGCGAAAATAACCCTACCTCCACGCTCGCCATCGTCACCTCCGGCCTTCGAGGTATCGACTCCAGCTGTGCTATTTTCTTTTTCCAACAATCCGCGTGCAGTATCCAGCAGGAGCACCGTCAACTATCGGGCTTGGTTCAGTCTGTGCAGATCTTTTTCCTCGATTGTCTGAAGAGAGAGGCCCATTTATCATAAAAAGCCCCGGGACCACTGACAAAGCCGCACCAGCCAGCCGCGTTCTCAACCCAAGAAACTGATCTTCACCTACGATACTCCACCACCAACCCTTCTACAAAAGTTGCCAGTCTGCATCGCGTATAGGCACTGTTGAGATAAATCACATAAACTTTGGGTTGCCCTCGAGAACACAGATGAATCTCACTTATCGACCCTCCGAATAGCCACAATCCATGCCACACCTTCGTTGACTGATTCCAGAGACACTGCCGCCTGGTCTTCTCATAATCTCCTTTTTCTACCCGTCGCCAATATCGCCGAGAACAAGATAAGAAAGGAAGCATTGACTTCTTGCTGGAGCATACTCTGCAGAAGTGTCGATTCTTATAACTCTTCAGTCAAAAACCAGCGGAACCCGCATTGAGTCTCTTCCCCAGCAGTCACTCTGGCGTCCGTCGCAATTCCCCTTCCAATGGGGACATCCCTCGATGGGCTCACCACACCCTCCAGCCTAAGCCAGCGTAGGCAAACAACCTTCAATCTCGACCTGCCGCCTCCCCATGCTCTGCAGTTCAGTTCTGTGGTATCGAGTCAGAAATTCCCTCCTCTCTCAGGGATCAATACGTCGCACGCTATTGCGCCCATTAACCCGGGAAACCTTTTGACCCCCCCGTCCAATTCAGCCTCGGAGAGCGGCGCTGCCTCATCTGCAATTCCCACGGGGACAACCCCAAACAGTGCAGCAGGCCCGGTGCTACCATATACGCCAACACTATTCGGAACAGGGACCACGCCCACGGGATACCACACGGGCTTCACACCTTCCTGGCAGAATGGATCTCTCGTGTCCGGCCGATCCGTATTTTCACCGATACCAGGCGCCTTGAGGAACAGCACCAACTCCCCTTCAGCCGGAGAAGGCTCTGCATTGCCCCCTCCACCCTATGATCTCCATTCGGTTCAGCCGTACGGTGCCCCTGTTCCCCTCTCTTCTCCCTCAAACGCTGTCCACCAGACAGCCCAACAGAGCGTCATATCGCCGTTGTCGAACAGTGTGAAGCCACCCAACCAACAATCCCCTGTGACGCCGGGCGACGGGGTCAGCAGAGCCGTATCAAATCCCGCTTTGTACGCAACCATGACAACTACGGCTCAACAACATCCTGCATACCATTTTGCAGCCGCACCAGTATCAAAGTCCGCACCATCATTCCCTTGCCGCTCCTCGAGTTTCGCCGCCACTCCATCAAGGGCCCCAGTCCCAGGCTCCTTTTATGCGCCCGCCTCCGCCCTCATATTCACTGCCTGCCATGCCTGGTGCGATCATGTCCAACGTCCACAGTCCAGGTGCTCAGATGGCAATGGTGGGCAATATGCAAGCCAACATGTTACCCATGGCTTTCAATAGCGGCTATGCGGCAAATGCCCACAGCATGTATGGCCCGGCTCGGAGCAATACACCCCAGCAACAACCGCTACACGACCGGCCTTTCAAGTGCGATCAGTGCCCGCAAAGTTTCAACCGTAATCATGATCTGAAGAGACACAAGAGGATTCATCTTGCTGTAAAGCCTTTTCCGTGCAATCACTGCGACAAGAGCTTCTCTCGCAAAGACGCGCTGAAAGTAAGTTGGACTGATCGAGTCTGATTAACATGAGACTGACTTTTGCGTCACAGCGACATATCCTTGTCAAAGGCTGCGGCACTGGAAATCCCTCCGACGTTACGGCCAGAGAGGATGGTGTCAAGTCCGAGTCCGGAAGCGATGGCATCAATGAAAGCCCGGCAGCTGCGCCAGCAGCTTAACACCAGGGCACCCAACTCTGGCCTCACTGATTGCATATTAATCCTTTCTTTGAGCGACTGTACAATATATTATCCTGGGAGGCCCTTGTCCTGTGGATTTTTATTTTCATTCAGTGGTTTTTGTGGTTATGACTTGATGGATGGCAGCATGCCAGCAACAGGCGGAACGAGATGGATGGATTTTGACGGATTCTTATCGCCAGGAATGGGCATTTCCGATGTACCATGTTGTTTCATTATACCCAGCGGAATGGCATGACAGGACAGGGGCTATACTGGTAAATTGGTTTTCTTTTTCTGGCAGGGCGTGTGGTGGTGAGCATGACAGACTCAAGGCGAGCACCAGGGAGACACCGAAATTTCTGACGGAATCAATAAAACATTAATGAATATAGGTACATTTGGGTGGCTGTTGGAATGGATGAACCTGGGAGCGTTATGCATGCCCATCATTCAGAGGTTGTGGCCATGACATGGTATGACAGCCTAGAGCACTTTGCGTGTCCACTTTGCCATGTCTTCCGCATTCCCTTATGTCTTCGGTACAGAGTACGAGGTCGTCGCTGTCAAGTTTCGTGTCTGGGAAGACCCCTGTAGACCACGCGACTGTGGCTTGCCAAATGACGCGAGCCTCGCTTGCGGAAGAGGCGCCGACAGAAGCACGGCTTTGCGCCCCAAAAGGCGCTTTGGGGCGTTTGCGGGCCTTCTTCTCTCAGCCTTTCCAAGATTGTGGGGAAGGACTCAATAGGCAATCACGTGTACCGAGCCACTGAGGAGTCGGAGCCCACGTGCCCCACCAGCAGCCGGATACGTAATGTACGTAGGTACCTCGTACTAGGTAGGTAGGTGCTACCTGGGCTTGTTAGGCGAAAGACCTGGGCTTCCTAGGCTTGCTGAACTTGCTGTAGAGTGGATTCTCCCTGTGTCACACATCTGTTCCTCCCGCAAGAACACAGCTGTGCGCGCAATCAACAACCCTTGATCCTGTGCCAATTGACAGCCTTGACACCGAAGCAAATGCAATACAACCTATCCGGAACCAGGAACCGTCCAACCGCGCAGTGAGCAATTCCAAGACTGTCACACAGCCAGAGCGATTTGTGCAGCCCTCGGCACCTCGACCTAACCTGCCTGGTACCAAAACCCGCCATGAAAAAGTTACACGATCTCAACGGTTGACAGTCACGAGGAAGGCTTACTACTCCTCCAGAAAGAGCCATGGGTCGTTAGAAGAAGAAAAAAAAACACAATCTCAATCTGGAAATGGCTGCACAAAACACCCACACAGAGACACATACAACACATACTGCATGTACGCAGTCTCACTCTCCTTGACCCTCGTCCTTCTCTCCCAACCTCTCTCTCTCTCTCCCTCTCCACACCACGCGCACGCGCACGTAGTCGGCAGACAGACAGAATCATCAATGATCATGACACCCAACAAGGCCATGCATAGACCGATTCCTCCTAACCCAATTTTACACAAGGCGGAATCCAATGTCCACGGTCGTTCCCAGCCATCCGGATGCAGCTAAGTGCGGGCTTGTCCTTGTGTCATTTGCTCCAGCACAAAGTTTACCTTGCAGCTGTTAAGCGAACGACTGCGCAAATCACCTCTTCATTCCCTCCCTCTTTAATCCCTCTGCATCGGCCAGACGGTCTTGTACGTCAAACTCATGGTGGTCATGTTTTGCAAAACACAGTCCCCGCCCGGAAAACCCACGTTTTCGCCTGCTACCCCCCCTCACCCAGTCCAGTTGTCCAACTGACAGAAACAATCTGTTGTAGGTATTCCCCGATCGATCGGCGCTACCTCGTACCACCCTGAAAGCTCCACATATCGATCTCGCAGATCGACTTCTCCGACCTCAGATCGAACCTTGTTTCCAACCCATCCTTCTCTCGCGTCACGCCATGATGCCTGCTCTCCTGCCTTTGTCCTGCTTCAGCCACAAACCGGCCCTTCCGCCAATCCATCCGTTCCCCAACATCTTGACACATTGCCAACGCCCTGCTGGCCATGTCTAGCCTTCCATTCACCCTCGACTTGCTCCCAAGGTTCAGCCTAAGTTCCCAGATGCCACCCTTTCTGGCTCCGCTTTCTCGACGTCTTTCCCCAATGATTTCATGATACCTTATCCTTGACCGCATCTAAACCCGGCAGAAATAGTCTCGTAGGGCATGTCCTTCCTGCACCATTGGTCATCCAACCTCTTAACTGGTGGACAACGTACAAATCTAGGTATACTCTGCCTCTAGGACACCCTGGCCAGACCCCGTCCACCACCTGAAAAGGCCAATATTCTGCCATCTGTCGCCAGCTGATTAGCTGGGATCGTTGACTTGTCTTTGCGTGCCGGTTCTTTCAGTCTTTGGTTCTCTTACAGTCCCTTCGAGATTCGCCCTTTTCATAGACTCTAAATCCTCGAATCTTCAAAGCCCGTCCTGTTCCCCTCCAATATTTCCATAAATCAACTGCTACGCCTAGAAAGCACTTGTCGACGGCACACGTTCCACAATTGCCTTTTGGCACGTCTGAGCATCTGTTTGACAATCTTGGAGGTTGCAGGGCCATCCTTCTGGTCTCTTTGAGACTACGGTCCAGTGGAGGTCTAGAGACTAGGGATTTCTTATTGATCGAGGAAGCTCCTCAGCATTGCACCTGGCTCAATGACCACCCATCGTGTCCTGATATACTTGTTGCGACGAGACCTCCGACTTCCAGATAATCCCGTCTTTCACGAGATACATCAACTCTCCCAGCAGGTGCAAAAGGCATTTACTCACGTTCTCCCTGTATATGTTTTTGCCGCCCAGCAGGTCGAAGTCTCCGGATTCGTCACCGAGCCTGGCTCCAAATCGCCTTTCCCCGAGGCGCGTTCAGAGGTGGGAAAGTTCTGGAGATGTGGCCCTCACAGGGCCAAATTTCTCGCCGAATCAATTTGGGACCTAAAGTCTCAGCTCGAGGGGGTGGGTAGCGGTCTGTGTATCCGCGTCGGCATCTTAGGTCAGGTGGTGGAAGACATCCTGGACCAGTTCCGTCAGGCAGACGAAGCATCTGTCTCAGCAGTATGGATGACAGAGGAGGAAGGTGTGGAGGAGAAGCGGGAGGAACGGGACGTACGCCAGGCTGCTGAGAAGTTTGGGATCGGCTTCAGGTTATGGCTGGATGAGAAATACTTCATCGATGAGTATGTGTGCACAACAAGTGGGATATCGTGCGAGACTGACGTGTCCTAGCCGAGATTTGCCGTTCGACAAGCCTTCTGATCTTCCAGATGTCTTCACCAGCTACCGGAAGTCAGTAGAGCCGTTGAGGGAAGCGCCACGCAAAACACTACCCTCGCCGCCATCGTTGCCTCCGTTGCCAACGTCAGTCCCGTTGCAGACCCCTCCATTTTCGATACCTGACACGTTCGAGAAGTTGGAATCGGCCCTGATGAAACCACTGATGGCCAACCCTCCGCTCTCCAAGCCACCTTGCTTTCCTTCTTCAGGAGTCGCTTCTGCCCATCCTTTCCATGGGGGCAATACAGAAGGAGAAAAACGGGTAGAATTCCTGGTGAAATCGGGGCTCATGAGCAGATACAAAGACACCCGCAACGGTCTGTTAGGGACGGATTTCTCTACCAAACTTTCGGCTTGGCTGGCGCTCGGCTGTATCACCGCCCGCCAAATACACTCCCAGCTGCTCGAGTTTGAGGAAGGGAGGGATGACCGATATCGGGCCGCAGAAGGATATGGGAAGGGGGAAAACTCCGGCACTGCTGCTGTACGATTTGAGCTCTTATGGCGAGACTACATGAGGCTCTCTACACGAAAATTTGGCTATCGGTTGTTTCGGCTGGAAGGGTTCCGGAATGAGCACTCTTCCGCGTGGAAGACACCTGGCAGCAAAGGCAGTGGCCCGGAAGTTGCAGAGATGCTGGATAGATTTCTGCGCGGGACAACTGGGACAACCTTTATCGATGCAAGCCAACGCGAGCTCTTCCATACGGGATACACAAGCAACCGAGCTCGACAAAACGTGGCGAGCTTCTTAGCAAAGCACCTGGGCGTGAACTGGAAATTGGGGGCCGAGTGGTATGAATGCATGCTGACGGACTACGACGTCAGCTCCAATTGGGGCAACTGGCAATACGTGGCTGGGGTGGGGAATGACCCTCGTGGCGAAGCCAGAGTCTTCAACCCTATCAAACAAGGCTGTGACTACGATCCCCGAGGTGAGTATTGCAAGGCTTGGGTAGAAGAGCTGCGTGGTCTACAGGATGCGCAGGAAATATTTCAACCGTGGAAAGTGAGCAAGGAAAGGAGGGCCGAGTTGGGACTGAATGGACTCGACGCGCTTGAGCGTCCATTGAAGAGAATCGATTTCAAGGTCGGCGGCAAAGGTAGAGGCAGTAGCAGTGGGAGTGGCCGGTACGGGGGGAGCAGCCGAGGAAGAGGCAATGGTGGAGACAGGGCGCGAGGGCGGGGCAGCGCCAGTTTTGGGACGAGGGGAGGGCATCGTGGCCGTGGGAAGAGTGATGCAGGTCCAGAGCAAGGCCATCATGCAAGAGATTAGCGGACGAGGCTGGTGGACTGGAGAATGGGAGGACGTGGCCAAGGGAGACTGGCCTTTCGAATTCTCTGACTCGTACGGAATAGCGAGATGACAGATGCTGCTGGGCGCAATCCTATGCAATCCTATGGGAATGGAGGCGGCAGCTTTCGGTCACGATGGAAGGCGAAGTAGGGTCAGCAGCAAATTGATGTCGCCAGTGTCATCATCATTTACCACATGTTAGGGGATGAGGTTTACTACTGCTCCTAGGCTAGAATGGAACCATCAATTGGACCGTCGGCAACATTGACCAGGTGCTGGAGGGTTGGAAGAAGGCAAGCGAGCAAGGACCGGGAGATGGAGCAGCCCGAATGACAGACCAGGCATCTCGTGTGTCTAGCACCCTGGGTAGAGGAGGACCGAGTAGGAATTGTTTGGTTGGAGGCAGACCGGAGGA